CACATAAATATATATGTATATATATGTATACATATAGATGTGCTTATTTATCCCTTCCCTAGACATACATGGTATTTTCGATGTCCTGCAGCAGGGACATGACTTGCGAGTCCTGTCCACTGATTCCCAGCCAGTAAAGTATAGTCCCCCGCAATTCCGTTGTTGTGAGATGCGCAAATTCCGTTTCGATTAATTCATTCATGCCCATTACCTGAGTACGTTTTACGGGAGTACATACAGATTTTTTTTAGGTTTTTAGTTTGATTGAGACCATTGCCTGAGAATGTTTCTTGAGAACAGATAAGACGTTTTTACGCTTTCGAAAAATATGTATATTGCCAGTATACGATGTCAGTAGACAGATATGGATAGACACGTTCAACGGTAAAACTCTCTTCATAGGTCCGATTTGGGAAACGCGTACTTGCCAATATATCAATGTCTTCCATCAATGTATGCAAGACAAGAAATGGTGTCCGAAGTGAATGATTAAAGAGTGTGGAATGGCTGCTAGTACATGTGTCTGTATATGGCAACGATCACCTTGTCGTGAGCACTCCTAAAAACCATTGGCTTTTATACTCCTATAACTATTTTTACCAGATTCTCCAAAAGCGTCGTCGTCCGCCATGAACTCTACCTACTTTATAATTCCAGAATCTGTGGCAATGTTCGTGAACATCGCTTGTGGATGTTCCTAATAATCGACACCGGAGTGCAAGTGTATGTCAACCAACACATCTACTATCCATCGTCACACTTCGTATGTTAGCCGATGTCTTTACACAGCTATGGTATATCGATCTACTTGCCCGAATTATTAAACTTACTTTATACCGATGTCAACAGAACTATATCCAGCAGTTGACTGCAACAACTCACCTTATGTTTATCACCACACAAATGATTTGTTCATTCACAACTGAGTACGGATGCTTTCAAACACATATGACAGCCTTGTTGGAAAATCCAAGTTTGCAAACACTAGATATACGTAAATAAAAACACGAATACACGCATATAAATATACACTATATATA